CCAACCGGTTGTTACATCTTTTCCTTTTCGTTTTATAATACGAAGTATTGCAATTACTTACTTATCTGGGCCAGATTGAAGATCACTACTACACAGATGTTGTTTAATATAAGCTGGCATTGAACGCTACTGTTGTGAGAATTATTTCTCGTATTCCGAGAAGAAAAATCTGTCCAAGAAAATACGTACTATAATAAATAATTTCCTTATGCATTGAGAAAATATTACGATTTAAAAGAATTTATGGAAATTTCATTTTATTTCGTTTCGACAATATTTCGATAAATTCTGGAGATAGTAAATTGTAAAGTTCATTTTGATCGAATTTTTAAGGAATATTTGGATTATGTATACGAAATATGTAAATTACATGAACTTATGTCTATGTGTGTATGGCTATTTAATATTATCTAAGTTTATAAGACGTAATGTAGGAATTTTTAATATAAAATATATAAGCAGTGGTTTACCTATAAATAATAATGTATTATAAAATATGATATTAAGTTGTTTGTAAAGTAATCTCGTTTCTAAATGGTAAATAAAAAACGATTATTTTTTGCTCATTAAATTAATACGTATAATTATATATACGAGAGTAAATTAAATAGTTTGAAAGCTTAACAAAAAAAAACATTTTTTTAGATAAAAGTGAGTTTAACAGGAATCAAAATGGTTTCGATATTAAGCTCAAGATATTTCAATTCTCTCACATATTAATTTTAGACAAAAATGCCTATTAATTAATAATAATAATTATTATATTAGTATTGTTTACATAAATATATAAGATATCAAAAATATCTTTAAATAAAAAAGTACTATAGTGTTAGATATGAGATATACCAAACATTTTTTCAATAGTAAATATAAGTGTGTGATTGTTGTGTGTGTATTATTTATTAACATGTAAAAAATTAAATATCTTCGATATGAAATATATTTTTTTTAAATATACAGGGTGATCTGTAACTGGTGGTACAAGCGAAAAGGAGGTGATTTTGTATGAAAAAATAAATCGAAAATAAAGAATAACAATTTTTTGTTTGAGGCTTTGTTTTCGAGAAAATCGACTTTGAATTTTTGCAAAGTACGACTTTTCGTTAGGTCGCGTCAGTCACGGGAAACTGACGTTCAACTATGTTTTCAATACTTAGTAACGATTGTGGCCTAACGAGAATTTTCCTAAGAATTCCCGTGGCGCTCAACGTGTTATTCTATGATATTTTATTTCATAGGCTTATCGCAGGATTTTATTTAACAGGAATTGAATATTAAGAAAAATAACAAAATATAAGATTTATGGTCTAAAAAGATTTGATACCGAACACTAATCGATTCTGATAGTGTTTTGTGATAAAAGTCGGATAATAAAATAATAGGTAGAAAAACACTTCCGTGATATTGGAAGTATTTATCAACATAATTTCAATCAAGACAATGATCTACAATGAGATCCGTTCGAGATCCAACAATGAGACATGATTAACACGTTGAGCGCTACGCGAATTCTTAGGGAAATTCCTGTTAGGCCACAATTGTTACTAAATATTAAAAACGTATTTGGACGTCAGTCACGCGTGACTGACGCGGCCCAACGAAAAGTCGTACTTTGCGAAAATTCAAAGTCGATTTTCTCGAAAACAAAGCCTAAAACGAAAAATTGTTATTCTTTATTTTCGATTTATTTTTTCATGTAGAATCACATCTTTTCGTTTGTACCACCAGTTACAGATTATCCTGTATATTACTTTAAAATCTACTATCACTTATTGATCAACCCAATATAAATTTCAATATTACTAAATTATCTTACTAATTATTGTGATCTCGCGATGCTTCGAAGATGAGATGTTATTTGATACAGTCATTAATCTAAGAGGATCTTTCGTAGAAAACGAAATACTAGTTTAAAGCCGATATTAATCTTGTGATATCCTTTAATATCGTAAAGACATAAGCCATGCTCCTGCTATTACACTGAAGAATACAGATTACGAAGATAATTTGTCTTAAGATGTAATAAGTAAGATGTGGTGCTTAGGATAAATTGTGTTTTTATGAGTAATCAAAAGTACTCTAAAGTACGAAAGTTACGAAAAAAAATAAAGATCAGTTCATGTTCTACTAAATCTTGGGATTCATTATTGTAGCTATAATGAGTATGCTCTTAATACTTGTTGGTTTAGATTGATCAATATTCATAACATTATTACTTTTAATATTCTTTGTTAATGTTTTAAATAAATAGTTCATATTTATATTAAAATATTTGCATGTATAATATAAGCAATTAGTATTTTAATAATATAAAAATTACTTTGAATCAATGTATACTTTAAATCAATATGTGTGCTACAAATAAAATCTTTGGGACAAAAATAAAATTATGATTGGACGATGCAAACTCGTAATAACAAATAACGATAGTCCAACTGATATTCTCTAATTTTTTTTAGTCTAATTGCGAGCTCTGTAGAAAAGTTTATATTGAAAATTTTGCCATTCTGTATGGTTTGTATTTCCTTTGAAAAAATTATTGTCAATTACAATGATCACATATTGAATTGAAAAGCAATAACTCGTAATAAAAATGACAGAGAATATTGTTGAATTAATAAAAATATCAATGAAATTAAAAAAAAAAAGAAATAAACAAAAAACAGAAAAAGAGATAATAAACCTAATTAATTTAATAACATTGCTTTTGTGTATTATAAAATAGAAAAAAAAAAGAGATTCATTTTGATTTTTTCTCTTTTTTTTGGCTACAAAGAAAAAGTTTACGAAGGATTTTCTAGGGTTTTTTAAACTCTTTCATTCTTTTCCACTTTGATGATTCATATTTTTTTAAGCCATCCCTTTTATCCTATTCTAAAAGATTCTTCAACAATTTAAAGGAGATGAGATCTTAAATTGTAGTCAAAGAAAATAGCAGAGCTTTTATCGCGAACTCTATGTTATATCCGTTCTAATCATAAAGTCAAATCCCGTTTCAAAGATTTTCCGATATTATCTGAGATCCTTCGAAATAAGAAAGAAAAGAAAATTTACACGTTATCGAAATTTCACAAGAAAAAGACAGAATATTTTAAGCGCGATGAAAACAAAAAATTCCTTTACAATATTTTCTTATTGTTATTTACTAAACTAAACAAAAGCATCAAAGATAACGGAAACTATGTCGTAGAAGTTGAATCATTCTTAAATCCAACAATTTGTTCATTTTGAAATTTGTAAAATATGATTAAACAAATGAGAACTAGTAATATCAAGTCTTCGAATTTCTTTTAATATTTTAATTAAAGAAAAGATATTATTAAATAATCACCATCAGTTTTTTTTTACTTACGAATGCAAATTATTTTTGAAAAAAGAAGTATATTTTAAAAATATTTTCTATTTTTAAAAATTTTTCATATTAACAAAAATTAAGCCATTCCTCACGTGTAATTGGCCTATTGTTATTCACTAAAATTTTCATTTTATGTCACAGTTACTATATGCATGCTTATCAAAAAACATGAAAAAACTTTAATTTAAAAACCGAAAGGTCAAGACAAAACTTATACAGTTCAATCAATCGATAATTAAACCGTCGATAAATTTAATCGGTCGGTAATAAAAGCATCAATAACAAATAATTACAATGATCTCTACCTTATCATTCGTCGGATAATTTATTTTCGTCGATAAATAAATTTTATCGACCGAGAATAAATAAATAGTTTAAATATAATAGTTTAAAAAAAAGATTACTACCTTTTTCTCTAAAAAAAAAGTTGAAATTGTCTAATATAAGAGGAAGTTAGTCGTTCTCCTCATAAATTTTTCTTTGTTAATTCTCGAGTTAGTAAAGCTACAACATCATTACATTAATCTTAATTGACCCGTTTACATTCGAGCGTTTTAAACTCAAGGCTCTTTTCCTAATGCAAGATTTTTTTAACGATTCTGAAATAATAACTTTCGAGAATATCCACCGTTATTAGGATTATTATTAAAAAAATTATAATTAAAAGTAAAAAAGATTATACGGAAACGAAGATACATGAGACTTAATGACAACAAATAGAAAAGATTAAATATTTAGAAAAAAAAAAAAAAAAATATATATATATATATATATATATATATAACATTTTATATCTCGCAATATTAAACAAAAAAAAAAACTAAAGATAAAGTCTCCATCGAATAATGTAAAATTGATGGAAACTTCCTTTTAGCTTTTTCATCTCCCTGACCATCGGATACAAGAACTATGGGATGATTTTGACTCTCCAGATGTTTCCTTTTCCCCCTAAATCTTTTTTTTTATTCTCAAATTTCCATTTTTCTTTTACAGTCCCTTAAAGAATACAAAGAATTATTCTAAACTGAAAATGAATAAAGAAAAAATATATATATATATATATATATATATATATATATATATATATATATATATGTTAATTTTTTTAAATGGGAAAAGATGAAAAGTATGCAGAGATTCTCTTATAAATACATGATAATTTTTTCGTTTCTTTTTGTTATAATTTCTTCACACGTTGTAACATCGAACAAATAAGTAACGGTCACAACAAAAAAATATTATTACCAATAGAAACGTTTGCAAAATATTTACGAAAATAAATATGGAAAAATAAGAAAAAGACTTCGGTCCGTGTGAAAAGTTCACTAACGAAAATATATACACTGACGTTATTATAATGTGTACAAATATAAACATTTAACTTTTTAAAATATATGTAAAGACAATTTGAATGACGTTAAAGTCGTGCCCCTCTCTTTGTTTCGTAGTATGTTGCACACAGATACTTTTATGTTAGTTACGACATAAACGATACGACGCAACCCGACGCTACGACGATGACGATGGAAATAGGTAGGAGGGGATGGAAATGATGGGAAGAGAAGGACAAAACGAAAAAAGAAGTAGAAGAAGTGGAACAGGAGGAGGAAGAAGAGAAGGAGGAGGAGGAGGTGAAAAAACAGGAAAGCCACTACTAAATCGTATCGGTCAGAACATAACGCCGGCAAACGGCTACGAGACTGCGTTTGGAGTTTCTTTTTCTCAAATTTTTTGGAAGAGAAATAGAGAGAAAAAGAGTTTATCTATGTGCGACTATTATATTTAAAAAAGACAGAGAGAGAAAGAGTGATTTTGGTTGATCTCGTACACAGAAAAAGAACTTTTGGCAAACAGTGACGATCAAGCAACTAGATTTAACCGATTCTATCTCGGCAGAGTGTGATACTTGCGTAGTTATCATCGTTATTCTGATTTACTTTCGATTGAATCGTTCTTTCTTCATTTTTTTTTTATTTATTTATTTTTTTTCTTCCTATTTATGTTTTTTTTTTAATTTCAGTTTTTTTTTCCTGATCAATTTTTAAACAGTTCGTGTAAGAAAAATTTCTATCGCGAGAATTTTGTGTTCGTTTGATTAAGTATTCCTTCTCATTTTTCACTGATTTTACCTTATGCAGTATTTGATAATTTTCAATTAAATATTTCAACGAAGATCTTTTTGCTATTATACACTTTGTGATAAAATATAAGAGGAAGAAGAAAATGACTTGCAATATTAATATAATGAGTAAGTACAATATAATTTTATTTTTTGATTATTTTTTAATTATTTACTTATAAATTATTACTTATTAATTATTTTGATTACTTCTTACATTATTTAAATTTTGTATTTCCTATGATATATACTTACATAAACTAACTTCTACTAACTAATATAAATATCGATAGATAGATATACCATCGATATCGCGATGGTATTTAAAGTTTATTTTAGAATCGTAATTAAAAAGCAACAAAACGTTCGATAATTTGTACAAGTCGAATTCTTAAAAGAATATTGTGTGTGTCTCATCAGTAAAGATAAGCTTTTATTTTCTTTTTTAAAGAAAAAAAATTGTTTCTATTTTGGGCTATAACGCCAAACAAAAAAATTTGGTTTGAGTGAATATTTCTACATGATCCGATTTTAAATCTCAAAAAATTACCATTTTTATTGGTCAAACTTACTTATGTTAATAAAAAAACAAAAAATGACGAAGCCAGGAATATTCTTCCTGATCAGAAATTTCGGGCAGAGTTCAACGAACTCGTTTGTCATAAAGAAGTGGAATATTTTAGGGAAATATTTTATTCGTAGAAAAAATAGTTAGACATTAGACAGATGTTAAATGCTATCTATAATCGCAATGAATGATGAGTTAGGAGAAATGAAAATGAGAAAGAGGAGAAGAAAATAAAATCAAGTAAAGTAGAATGGAATAGAATGAACATAGAAGAAAAGGCAGTTAATAAGTTTCGAAGTTGTTTCGAGCGTTAGATAAAATGAGATTATCGGGATCTTTTTAATAGCTCGACCTGAATTAACTAACTAACAAATGCGACTAACGATTATATCTACGCGAATCCACGCGTTAGTTTATATACTGTGTACGTTTTGTGTTTTTAAACCTGACGTCAATTTCTATTTCGGCAGTGTGTCTCTTTTCGTTTGGTCACAGGCAAAGAAAACGCAAATAGATGCTTGAAAATTTGCACGAGTCCAAGTTCTGGGTGAAGGTTATTATACAATAGATTATGTTAAATAAAAGAATTGCCAAAATTCTATAGTTTTATCGAATACTATTCTAAATTTCTTTTTTTTTAAAATGTGACTTTCACGTTCAATAATTCTATTATACACCATGAGTAGGTTGAAAAATTTTTAATCTAACATAGAAAGTATTTTATTTTCCTTGAATTTAAAAATAATTTTATTTTAAAGCTTTAACAAAAAAAAACTAATATAGAAATAATAAAGATAAGGAAAACAAAGAAAAATAAATCTTTCGGTAATTTAATGTTCATCCTTGAGTATCTATTAACAAAAATTCAATCGTTGAAATAATAGCGTAATAATTTACTATTATAGTTAAAATGTAGATACATATATTAAGACGGAAGATAAGACATGCATGATTTGTAAAATTATCAATGATAATAACTACATATATATACTATATGTTACTATGAAAAATCGAAATTGGATAATATCGAGATTTACATGGTCATTTGGTGTATGACCAAATTAATAATGTATTAGGTCTACCGGAAAGTTCTGTCCATTCTGACAAATACCGATTCAATTTTTCATCACTAGGGATAAGACATTTAAAAAAAATTCAATATATAAATTGTCATCAAACTGTGGTAAGAAATTATAAATAATGATAATTGATAAATATTAATCACTTCAAGAGATATGAAAATTTATTACTTTTATTTTATTCTAAAAAAGGACAGAACTTTCCGGTAGACCTAATATAGTAAAACCTGTTTTTGTGCGGTTCTTTTTTATGCGATTTTAATTTTGTGCGATTTGTTTTGTGCGATCTTTTTTTCATGCAATTTTTTTCGTGCGATTTTTTTTTATGCGGTATATGAATTTCAGCGGCGTTGGCACCAGTTTAATATTTCCTATCAGTGTACATATACATGTATAGACAAACCCTGACTACGTGGACTCCTTGACGATAATGGAACCTTATACAATCACTGGATCAGGGCATAATCACAAATTTTAAGAAACATTATCTCAAATTAACTTTTAGCTACATTCTGAAAAAACTAGAGAACGATGAATTAGACCTGACTAAAGTTTCGAAAAAATTCTTAATTTTAAACTGCATAAACCATATTACTGCAGTAATTGGTCAAATAAAACAACACACATTAAATTCGGGCTGGAAAGCGATCTGGCCTGAATGTGTAATTAATCGAAATGTAACCGAAAACGCGTCCACGTTATTATTTGAAATTACTGCACTCGCACATATGGTAAGATCAGCGGAGAGGGCTTTGATACTTTCGGCGAAAATGATCCGGACGAAATGATTGAGGACGAAACTGTCAACGATAGTGACATTATCAATAATTTGATAGATTATAAAGACAGACAAGAAGAACTGGAATCTATTACAGCTGATAAAATATATGCAGGGATCCGGATTTCTAAACAATTGGAAATGCATTTTCTTAAACTAGATACTAATTCTTAAAAAAGCTTGAAATTCCAAAAAAAAGCTAAGATCGTGCATTTCTTGCTATCGTGACGTCTACAAGCAACTGACCAATCGACTGACGTCACAAAAATTGATCACTGACTTTTTGGTGCCAAAATCAATAGAAATCGTATCTTCAAGCGACGAAAGCGATATTAAACCAATTCGTCACAAGAAAATGCGCGTTTTGGATTACGAGTAGCAGTGAATTATTTAATGTATATTTTGAAAATTTCTGCATGTATACAATGAAAAATTAAGTGTTTTAACAATATTTCCAGGTCTGATTTACTTATTTAATTTGTTGGAAAGCATTTTCTGCTTTATTTTGTAAATAATTGATGTATTTTCTAAGTGTGACTTTTTTTATTCGGTCCCTATCCTCTGCATAAAAACAGGTTTTACTGTATAAAAATAAACCCAAATATTCGGTCTTTTAACGACGTCTTCTGTACATGTTGACAAGCAATCTTGTGAATCTTGACATTTTTCAATTTCGATCTTTTACGGTAACATATATAAAAGAAGAAGAAACAAAAAAATACACAACTGAGTAGATAATATGCGATTAATTTATGAGTGAAAAGAGTAAAACTACGAATCATTGCTAAATCTAATAATATTCTAAGTCATAAACCGTATCATCACGCGAGTTAGATCAACGCGTAATATACTCATAATAGATATGCGTGTGTAATAGACTCCCTCGCGTCTACTAACACGAGAAACGAGAACGAACAAGCACGTTGATAAGTTCATTTAACGTTCATGGACATCCGGCCTACTCTCCTCACTTCTCGTATTATTAAATATTTAATAAACCGTTTTCTCATGACGCATAATAAACGTAATACAGATAAGAGGACTCGCATCATGTTTCGTTAGATTCTCATTCTTCCTCCTCCTTCTCCTCCTTATCATCTTCCTTCTTCTCGTGATGAATAAAACGAACCTTTTTAAAGTCAATCGATTAGATTTAAACGATCAAGCTTTATTCAATCTAAAGGAAATTTGATCTAATCTTCTAATCCTTATCTAATCCTCCTATTCGTCGTACGTACGATGCAAATCGCTAAATCGATAATAATCTCATACCGATTAATCAAAACTTCAAATGGTATTTTTAATCAGAGGAGAAGTAAATTGTTGTGTTACGTAGATTGCGTTTGCGTAATAAGTAATAACGATTGAAATTAATTGTTTGAAACTAGCAACCTTATAGAGTACAAACGATCTTTTATAATGTACCGTGATTTAGTATATATGTACTTTGTCATAAACGAACATCTCTTTCAAATTTTTTTTTTTTATATTTCAAGAAAGAGATCCTTGTATTACTTCAAGGAACGCGATAAACGATCAAAAAAAATTATAGATGATTTATTTGCGATAAAAGATTGCAAAAAAAAAGAACCTAATTATATTATAAGATTTCTTTGAATTTATTTATTCCGTTATGAACGTTTTTAATCTTCCCCTTTTTGTTTTTTTTCCATTTCAAAAGATCGGTCTTTCGGATCAGAGAGAGAGAAAGAGAGAGAGATAGAGAGAGAGAGAAAGTTCGAAGTTCAATGTAAAAAGATGAAAAGGTCATGGAATCTGGTTATTATTTTCGTTTTTGTTGTACCAATAAAAGTTTAATTCAGGGTCCACTCTCGTTTCCGGCCTTGTGAGATTATAAAAATACAATTTTTCATAAAAATATTTAAATATGTACATGCATAACATCGTGTATGCACTGTAATATAGACATGCGTGTTAAAGCGATTACATTATGTAAAAATTGCTTATAGACTTTGATCTTTGCGAACGTGCGTTTGTCATCACCGTTTGTCGATGATTTCCCCAATACCCCACCTAAATTCCCCGTCTCCCCTCCTTTACCTCATTATCTTCTCTTTCTATTTGTCTCTTTCCCTCACCACGGTAAAGGTACATGTAATTGCAACACATCATGTTTTCCGTCAAACACTTAATTAAAATAATTTATCACTTTATTCCCTTTTTCAAAGAAATATAAAATTATAATGAATAATTGAAAAAAATGAAAGCGACTTTTGAGATATTCCGTGTCTCATTAAAAGTTGTTTACTTTGTAGAAATATGTATATTTATTTTTTCTTATTTTCAATAACGAATGATTTGAATTATCGGATTTTCAGATAGAATAAGCTGTCTCCAGGTACTGAACATTATGGTGATACTTGGTTTCATGTTGAATTATATGCTGCGCGTTAATTTAACGATAGCCATCGTATCGATGGTAATGCCGTATAATAAGTATTCACATTCCAATAATTCGCACGACATCATTCCAATTGACAATAAAACGATAACGAGTGACGCAATGATAACGTCAATAAATGGGTCGACTTTTACTTCAAGTGTACATGTACGTTTTTTCGTTTCTTTTCGAATTTTCTTTTTTATCAATTTTTAATTGAAATAAAATTCAATAGATCAACTAAAAAGAAAAATAAATTTCAAAGGTCTATTGATTTCTTTTGTAGGAGGAGCTTGAACAAACCAGGTATCCGTGGAATGAATACGAGGTCAATCTGATTTTAGGAAGTTTTTATTGGGGCTACATTTGTACGGAAATACCTGGAGGTAGAATGGCAGAAATTATTGGGACCAGAAGAGTCTTTGGTTATAGTATGTTATTGTCTAGCGCTATTACTCTTTTAACACCACTTTTTGCGACTTTTGGATATGTTGCTGTGGCAACTCTAAGAATTGCTCTTGGCTTTATGCTGGTAGGTACTGTTTACAACGATTCTTTTATTATATTAACTACTTATTTTGAAAATGATGTAAGTTCAAAGTCAAAAAAATCAAATTATAACTACCTACACACAATTATTAATTTTCTTTCCAATTTGGATTTATATCAGTTTCAATACATAATAAACGGTTTATTATATGCCTATATACATTTATATATTTTTTGATACAAATTATTGGATAATTTGATTTTATAATTCAGGGAGTTACTTGGCCTGCAATTCAACCTATGACTGCTCGATGGATTCCACCGAACGAACGTAGCAAATTCGTATCTAATATGATGGGTAAATTTCATGTTGTGTTTATATCAATGTAAAGATAGAAAGAGAGAGAGAGAGAGAGAAAGAAGTATCGAAAGGAAGTACATAATTCAATTTACATATTTCTTGTAGCATCCTCGTTGGGTGCAGCGATCACATTGCCAATTTGCGGTTTCCTCATTGCCTCTCTCGGATGGGAATTTGTTTTCTACGTAACGGGAATGGTCGGATTGACGTGGAGTATCGCGTGGTTCTATTTCGTCTATGATTCACCCTCGCAACACCCACGTATTTCTGTTGAAGAACGAAACTACATCGAAGAATCCATAGGAACGACTTCTTCCACCAAGGTACGTAAAAGATAGGGAGAGAGAGAGAGAGAGAGAGAGAGAGAGAGAGAGAGAGAGAGAGAGAGAGAGAGAGAAAGAAAAAAAAGAAAATAGAAAAAGATCTTTGCGCGTTTAATTAAATCAACCGGGTCCATCCTAACGAAATGAAAAAGAGCTTCCTTCTCTTAATCGTGCTTATATTTACACGTGATCGATCTTTCGAATGATTTAACGTTTAATTTTACACTTGGCATACTTTGAAATTAATTATTTGTCTTTTCATCTTCCCTCCTTTTTCGCACCCTTATTCTATAATATTATATATGTTAACATAGAGATTTTATTATAATTTTTTATAAATTATTATTTATAATTATAATATCGAGAAATTATCTATTTATCTATCCTATAATTCGAATTTTTTAACATTTTTTTAACGAACGCTATAAATTTAAGTCTTGTATTGCTTATTAATAATATGCATTTTGCAATTGTTATTAGCATTTTCCAGTACCGTGGAAATCAATTTTCACCTCGTTACCCGTTTGGGCAATTCTAATAACGCACGGATGTAGCGTTTTCGGATATTTCACTGTGGTTAATCAATTACCTACTTATATGAAATATATATTAAACTTTAACATCAAAGAGGTGAGTTATATCAGCAATTATAGTCAAGTATTGAATGTAAATGTAATGAAGAATAATTTCAGATTTTTCTATCCTTCTAATCGTTTTCTATAGAATGGAATATTATCTTCGTTGCCTTATCTTGGTAAATATATTTTTGCCTTGACAACAGCGACATTGGCCGATTATCTTCGTCGTACGAATAAACTATCGGTTACTGCAATTCGAAAAATTTTTACCACTTTTGGTACGTATTATTATGTTTATTTTAACCCGTTTTTTCAAAATTATTACCCATTCCTTCAGAAACATTAAAATATATTATATATATTTTCAATACGTTTTAATATGTAATACAATAATATTCAATTCTAATGTATTAGGTCGTTCGAATAATAATTTCGTGTTTTCAATGATAAATAAAAAACAATTTGTTTATATTTAAAATTCTAATCAGTTTTGCGCACAGTTGAATTTGATTAGTTTAATTTCTTAACTATTTCTTGTGCATATTATGAGATAATTATATATGTAATTTACATATTTTGAAAATATATTATTATTATTATTATTATTATTATTATTATTATTATTATTATTATTATTATTATTATTATTATTATTGACTGGCGTTCGGAACTCGAAAGTTCATTGCCGCAACTACCAAATTTCGCCAGTGTTCCGTTCTTGAGCGCGACCTCTTTATTTGTGGTTCTCGTACCTTATTTCCTTAAATAAGATCTCTTTTGAAAATAAATAGGATAATAGAATTAAATGTTAAAGTTTAACCGAAAAAGAAATTGTTTTTATGTTTCGTTCAAAATTTTTCATTTTGTCCTACGAAAATATTTTATATTGCCCATTAAATATTATAGAATAAATATGTAAATTAATAATGAAATGTATATTTTTCAGCCGTATTGAGTCCAGGACTCCTTATGATAGCTCAAGCATACCTTGGTCGTGATCCTACGACGTCCGTTATCATTTTTACGGTTGCTTTGACGATAAATGGTGCTGTGACAGCTGGTTATCTTGGTAACGGTCTTGATATCGCTCCCAATTTTTCCGGAACGATTTTTGGTATCGCCAATACACTTAGCTCGTTTGGTGGATTTCTTAGTAGTTTCATAGTTGGTACAATTACCTATCAGAATCAAACATATGAACAATGGAGAAAAATATTTTGGATTCTCGCTGGTACTTACTGTACAGGTGCTTTGGCCTTCGCATTCCTTGGCACGGGAAATTTACAAAAATGGAATTATCCTGATACTAAGAGTTATGAAAAAAATAAGACTAATATAGAAAACAACGGTGACGCTGAAATTACTGAACCACTGAATAATAAAACGCTTTCGTAAAATTAAAAGATAATTCAAATTCGTACCTTCCCAAAGAATTTCAAATGATCGACTGATATTAATAGTGAGCAAACATATAACAAGCTATGTCAAAGTTAAGAAAAAATATCCTTGTATATATACTTAGTATATTACTTTCTGTTGACACTGATTGGTACGTTACGATTTCAAACGAATCCAAACAAAAAAAAAAAGATATAATTCTAATAACTTCGAAACATTGATTAATATTATGAATTATTATAAAACCTAAGAGCAATTGTATTTCAATTATATTGCCGTATAAATTTATTATATGTACAAAGTATGACAAATATACGAGAAGTAATTTTTAATATTTAATTTTTAATTTAATATTAGACGAAATATTTATCAAGAATAAAAGATAATAAAGATAAGATTTTTTGTATATATACAATATAGAATTCTACGAAAGAGCGAGATAATATTAAGAAAACGTCGATAAGGTGGGCATTTGTAATAGATAATATGAACATCGAATGATATCTTATCGACCGACAACGAAGACTACAGATATAATTGTAAAGTCTAAAGAGAAGTGGCGCTGGTATTACCAATTTACGTTCAATATTTATAACTTTATAACAAAGGAATTAAGAGAGGAAAACAGAAAGAGAGAGGGAGAGATCTCCAATATAAATAATAAAAAGCATCTTCTTATACTTAATATTTGTAAAAAAGAAATATTCTATTTTGTTTTATTTAATTTGTTTGGCGCATCCTCATTTCTTGGATTCCTGGATTGCGTCTATCCTTTCGTGAACGAAAGAGCAGGAGGTGGAGAAGAGAAAAGAGGTTAAAAGGAAGAAGACGTGTGCTCTGAAGTGTTGGTAGCGCAAGTGCGTCGCGGTGTCCGGCGTAGGGGCGCCCTGCGTTGCGGTGGTGCTCGCCGTGACGCGTGGCGCTGCGGCGCTCCACCGATGTGCCAGGAAAGTAGAAATCCGAGGAGTTAAACAGCCACTCTAAGTGATTGTGCGAGGTCATTCCCGCGCTCTGCGATAATTCCTCCTACCCGCCATCTTCTGCGCCAGCCGTCAAGCGCACTGACGCGAGTGAACCATACCAACACGTACGCCCCCTATTCTACCGCCTCCTCTACCCCACGTGACCACTACCACCACTCACGACCTCATTTCTTTCCCCTCTGTGTCGTATGTAACGTGCGAAACTACTCTCCTTCCTTGTTTACTCTAACTTTACGTTCGAATATTCATTGAAGAAAGAAGCATTTGCAAACTCGATTTAAGTAATATTTTTATATAAATTGTAATAGACAATTTTTCACATTGTTTTATTTATATTTACAATTTATATTTTTTGCATGTATTTTTTACTCTAACGTGTATTTATAATATGTTATTACTTATGAATAATATTTAGTCGATTTGTACAAATTTGTATGTTTGTTTTTATAATTTATCAATAGCTTGATATTAGAAAGATTCTTAATCTATTATTTCTATTTCTTTTTAATAAATTGTTGAAGTTTAATTAACGTACATATAATTAGATAATGACAATTAAAAAGAGAAAGAAATGTATCGAAACACGGATAGTAGTGCAGTAATTAAATTGCTGCTCTCTCATAATATCCGCGTTTAATTATTTCATCTTGATCAAGACTCCAAGAGCGTCTTGTTAAATATATATTTTCTAAATACCTCAATTTACAAGAAATATAATAAACTATCAAGTAATACATATATGTTGCGTATATAATTACTTAATAAATTTCCTTTTGGATATGATTTCACATATATTATACATTATTTTAAAGACATTTCTTAAAATAAATGACGTGTGTCTTCCTTCCCTTTATAAGAAAGAATAACAATAAAAGGACACGCAGAAGACAAACGAGAAGGACGAGAAGGAATAAATATCCTGCGTAGTGTTGAGAGACGATTACAGGAATGCCTGGAATTCGTGGACTGCAGTACTGAATATTCAGTTGTAATGTCGAGATTACGCGGATAGCATGAAGTTAAAGGAAGAAGAGTTGGCTCGAGTTTGCCGCGCGGGACCGCCCGCTCGAAGAAACTTTTACCCGGCAAACAGAAAAGCGAGGAATTAAACGAATCACTATTTCTTCTGGCGTTCAAGTTCCGTTGCTTCGTCGGATCTCATATTATCCTGTTACCTTGTGATTAACTAAGGTTTAATCAGCTTTACAAGCTAAACTTCTTTTGTCAACATGCACGTGCATGATAATCCGATGCTATCTTTCCAGGGCTACCACGAGGCTCAATTGTCAGAAATGCTTTTCGTCGATATTACGCACCAAAGTTCCACCAAGCACTCGTAAAAAACACGTCTATGTATCATCGACAACGAATCGAGAAACATTATGTTTTCCTATCCGTCCGATCAGATTCTACCTTGGATCTCACGTGAGATCTATAAGTATTCTTTAACTTCCTTATCCTTCTGTAAGCCTATTATTCAAATTCACTGAATGTTAGACGCAGAGTCGCCTCTTTCGCGGACGAGACAATGAAGGTGAAAAGAGATAAAGACCGAGAGAATGGAAAGCGACGTCAAACGTATACCTATAGTTATTCTATTCTTTTTTATTGATTTAAAACTACTTTGCATTAGACTATCAGGATTTCGCGTATTCTCTTTAGTTTTATTGGAATACACTGCTACAGATTGCAAATTTTATTTGTCCTTTTAAAAGAAGAAAAAGAAAAAATATTTTTTTTCTACTTTTCGAAAGAATGCGAAGAAGAATTAAAGAGAAACAGAACACACATATGTAAATGTAAAACTATAGGGTCGCAAGGTATGGGATGGATGTATAAAGAGGAGTAAAACAAGAGGACAAAAAAAACCTTTTAGAGGCTGAGGGCTCGAACAACCTCTTTGTCCGCGTTGAACCCTGATTCTAGAGTTCGCAAATTGATCGCACAATGTTCGCGAACGCGCGAACAAACTCGCGGAACGTTTTTCACTGTAAGCCATTTTATCGGCTTACTTGAGTCTATCCTACGAAGACGATGTCGACGATTTGTCTCAATTTATTTCTTCTCTTCATCTTTTATAAAATATTATCCGATTTCTTGGAAATATAGAGGTGCAAAATATCATGTGCGGAGTATAGAAAAAAATACAGACATTGTGCAACGAATTAAGTACTACCTGAAGTGTAATTAACTCTGCGGGCGGTTGTCGCCATCGGGAAATTACGGCACTTAATGACGGCTTTACGTGAACGAGCATGATAAAAAAGATGAAGGAACAAGTTTTGCTTTGAAGTAACACGAATTTGATGGTGATTATCGCCTACTACTTACGATATAAGTATTGAAGTAAGGACGCAAGTGAGTAAGTAACCTTTCCATAGCAACATCGTTCAAGTCTCGATTGCTAACGAATTGTGTTTAAATGAGATGGGAAGATTCGTCAGATGGACTTTGAGAACATGACCATGGACCATAAGGAAAAAATGTCGGAAACTAGAGTTGAAAAGAAGAAGAAGAAGAAGAAGAAGAGGAAGAAGAAGCACATTCAAAAGTATTCTTGAGTAAGAGAAAGGTGCTGATGGCGGAGATGAGAAAAGAATAGTCGAAGAAAAATGTCGGAGAGTCTAACACATCGACACAGTATCTCTTCTCTCGGCAGCAGTTTACTTATGGCAGCCGCCCCCGATTCATGGGAATATCCTCCGGGCATCGAACAAAACGTTCCTTGCTTCCGAACGGTCTTCTTCTTCTTCGTTTTCTTGTTCTTCTTCTTCGTTTTCTTCTTCCTCTTCTTCATCGTCTTCTTCTTCTTCGTTTCCTTCGTTTTCTTCTTCCTTTTCTTTTTCGTCTTCTTCTTCATCGTTTTCTTCTTTTTCTTCTTCTTCTTCTTCAATTTCGATTTCGAGACACGAGCATGTAAACGGAGCCTCTTTTCTAGACGGTAATTTCCCGAGAATGCGCCGATAGCCCTTTCTTCGTTCGTGTCGAAAAACGCCGTACCTTTGTACCTTTCCTTTCTTTCTTTTCTTTTTTTTCATTTTTATCTCTATTCCTGTGATCGATGGAAGATGGTCCAGAAGCAAATACAACTGCTATACGTATTTTCAACTATTGCTATATCTAACATTGCATTGTTCATTTCTTAAAATAATTAAATTTCAGCTATAAGTTATAGTAACAAAAACCAAAAGAAATGTAATTGGTATTGAAGCTGTTTTAATAAAACGATATTCGCAATATAAGAGTATCATCAGTGCTCGTTAGTGTAGAAAAAAAAAGGAGAGTACATTGGCTTTGAGAGATGCAAAAAAAAAGAAAGAAAGAAAGAAGAAAAGGAAGACGAGAAGCAATGAGAAGGGAAAAGGGAGAAGGGAGAATGGAGAAGGGAGAAGGTGAGCAGGTACGTAGAACAGGTATGCGGGTGAGAAACACCCGAGGCGCATCCAGATCCGCCCACGTTTAAGCCGCACACCCGCGTTGCTAGCCGGCACTCTTCCATCAGGACAGGGCCCCTTCGGGCTTTTTTCGAAAGGAAGAAGAAAGAGAATCGTGGTAAAGTCTCTCAGAACCCAACAGCTCTTCCTTCCAGGTCTTCTCCACCTGCAGAGAGAAACACAACTCGTGCACGCGATCCATGACTCGAACACCCCCGCGGGCACACGCCGTCATCGCGCCAGCTTTCAGGAAGGAGGAAGACCTCAAGAAGAAGAAGAAGAAGAAGAAGAAGAAGAAGAAGAAGAAGAAGAAGAAGAAGAAGAAGAAGAAGAAGATGTTCAAAGTATGGAGAAAATATTTTATCTTGCTAATGTGTGTATCACAGATTTTTAAATAATATTCGGAGTATATAGATTTAGGATAAGATAAAAATTTTTTATTATGAACTTCTATAATATCTCTTTCTGTTTATGAAGATTAATTTGTTATAGTGTTTTGAAAATCGGATTAGATGTAAAAGTTTAAAAAATTGTTGTAAATTTACAAATAATCGAAATTTGGAAAATATGAGGGTGAAGAGTACACCTGATGATATGCAACCCAAAATACAAGTGCGTAGTCCGGCGCATTAATTCGAGGTGCAAAAGATTGCTTTGTTTTTTATTTTAAACTATATTTTATAGGTATACCTATCGAATGATTTCGTTACTGAGAAAAATTTTTAATAGTGCGATTGTTTTATGATAGATGAAAAATAAACACCTATGTATATATTGCAGTTACAACTTTATG